AAAGTGGTGTCCCTTATATAAAATGGTAAAATCAAGGTTTGCTTTTTGTAATTTTTTTTAAAAAAATTCAAGCCATGGATGGTTGAATCTGTGGATAATAAATATCCAAGGATATGGAACGCTGAATGTACAAGGGTGAGCACTTGGAAAATGAGTGACACATGAAAAATAAGTGTTCTGCAGTTGGTAAAGCTGTGACAATATTTGGTGTATGATCATTACGTCTAACAATGTTTGTGCCCCCTTGATTTCCTCTGTCTTATTGTTCTTGTTTCCATCTAGCTGAAACGCACCTGGTGATTGTACCTGTCATTTGATTTGTAGAGGTTACTGTGCTGACATCATTGCAACATGGGAGATGAATTTTACCAGCAAGCATCCCTAGTTGCATTCTCACTGCAAGTTCAGGCACGTACAGCTGCCCGATCTCCTCTTATCTGTGAATTAGTCCACCAGTGTATATAAATAGTTGGTACTATTATTTTTGATATATTCCTTTTATCAGCAAGATATGCTTGCATGTTCCAGTGACACTTGGACACTGCAGTGCTTGATCCAGCATGGATGCTGAGCACTTTCATCTCCCATTGACGTCAGTGAGAGTAGAGGATGTTTAGCACCTTGCAGGAGGCAGTTATTCTCTTGTAGGAAACTTGTCTTTAAAAAGAGTTTTACCTTTATGTCCTAGATCTGCTTTTCTTCACTTTCCTGTCTGTTTTTTTTTTTTTTTTGTATTATTATTATTATTTCAAAAGTTCTCTCTGTCACAGAAACTGAGGGGCATTGGATTTCGGAGCTATATACCATGTTGAAAGGAAGAAAGTTACTTTCCTTCCCTTCCAGCTAAATACAGCTTTCAATTAATTACCACAGTGAAGAAAACAGGCAATTGAATATTAACTGTTAATGGATGAAAGTTAATGCTGGTACAAGAATGTGCAAGTTTAGGGAGAAAATGAGCTGATAAAGAGTAAATGATCTAATCAATTAAATATTATTTGGTCCATTTGCAGAGCTATTGAATTCAATTAAAGATCACAATTCCCATTTAAAGAAACATAATTTAAATCATGATTATTTATATATTTTTCCTTTAAAAAAACATTAGTAGAGCTAAGCTAAGTTTTCCTAAATTTGTTTCTTTTTCTATAGGAGGTCTACAGATCTTATGGCCCAGAAATAAAATCTATCATTTATGGTAGAGTAACAGATCCTGCTACTTTCCAAACACCATACAAACAAACCTTTGTTGATGCAGATGGACAGCAAAACAAAGTGGCTAGCAGGCAGCTGCTGTATATGGCTAGTTTACAGTGTTTGCTTGGTGGTTCATAGTTGTCCAGACATGTTATGAATCAAGAAAGTCTCTTTTGAGGATTAGCTCTTGCAACTATCTCACCAAAATTCATGCAGCGGCTGTGGTTCAGTAGTGGAACATTTTGTTCTGCCTACAGGAACTCCCAGGTTCATTCCCTTGCATCACCAAGGTGTAGTTCTTATAGCACTCCAATGGTCAGAGATCCTAGTAAAGCAAATCCAACAAAATCTGTGTAGTCAGGATTGGGTATCACCAATGGCAGCCCTGCTCAGGTGCCACCT